CACCCTCTATTGTCCTATATGCACACATATACATCCACATACACCCTCTATTGTCCTATATACACACATATACATCCACATACACCCTCTATTGTCCTATATGCACACATATACATCCACATACACCCTCTATTGTCCTATATGCACACATATACATCCACATGCTCCCTCTATTGTCCTATATACACACATATACATCCACATACTCCCTCTGTTGTCCTTTATACACAAATATACATCTGATGTTGTCCTATATACACACATATACATCCACATACACCCTCTATTGTCCTATATACACACATATACATCCACATACACCCTCTGTCGTCCTTTATACATACATATACATCCACATACACCCTCTATTGTCCTATATACACACATATACATCCACATACTCCCTCTGTCGTCCTTTATACATACATATACATCCACATACACACTCTATTGTCCTATATACACACATATACATCCAAATACACCCTCTGTTGTCCTTAATACACACAAATACATCGACTTACCCCCTCTACTGTCCTATATACACACATATACATCCACATACACCCTTTATTGTCCTTTATACACAAATATACATCCACATACTCCCTCTACTGTCCTATATACACACATATACATCCAAATACTCCCTCTGTCGTCCTTTATACATACATATACATCCACATACACACTCTATTGTCCTATATACACACATATACATCCACATACTCCCTCTGTTGTCCTATATACACACATATACATCCACATACACCCTCTATTGTCCTATATACACACATATACATCCAAATACTCCCTCTATTGTCCTATATACACACATATACATCCACATACACCCTTTATTGTCCTTTATACACAAATATACATCCACATACTCCCTCTACTGTCCTATATACACACATATACATCCACATACTCCCTCTGTCGTCCTTTATACATACATATACATCCACATACACACTCTATTGTCCTATATACACACATATACATCCACATACACCCTCTGTTGTCCTATATGCACACATATACATCCACATACACCCTCTATTGTCCTATATGCACACATATACATCCACATACTCCCTCTGTTGTCCTTTATACACAAATATACATCTGATGTTGTCCTATATACACACATATACATCCACATACACCCTCTATTGTCCTATATACACACATATCCATCCACATACACCCTCTGTCGTCCTTTATACATACATATACATCCACATACACACTCTATTGTCCTATATACACACATATACATCCACATACTCCCTCTGTCGTCCTTTATACATACATATACATCCACATACACACTCTATTGTCCTATATACACACATATACATCCAAATACACCCTCTGTTGTCCTTAATACACACAAATACATCGACTTACCCCCTCTACTGTCCTATATACACACATATACATCCACATACACCCTTTATTGTCCTTTATACACAAATATACATCAATATACTCCCTCTACTGTCCTATATACACACATATACATCCACATACTCCCTCTGTCGTCCTTTATACATACATATACATCCACATACACACTCTATTGTCCTATATACACACATAAACATCCAAATACACCCTCTATTGTCCTATATACACACATATACATCCACATACACCCTCTGTTGTCCTATATACACACATATACATCCACATACACCCTCTATTGTCCTATATACACATATATACATCCATATACACCCTCTATTGTCCTATATACACACATATACATCCACATACACCCTCTGCTGTCCTATATACACACATATACATCCACATACACCCTCTATTGTCCTATATACACACATATACATCCATATACACCCTCTATTGTCCTATATACACACATATACATCCACATACTCCCTCTGTTGTTTTATATACACACATATACATCCACATACTCCCTCTGTTGTCTTTTATACACACATATACATCCACATACACCCTCTATTGTCCTATATACACACATATCCATCCACATACACCCTCTGTTGTCCTATATACACACATATACATCCACATACACCCTCTATTGTCCTATATACACACATATACATCCACATACACCCTCTATTGTCCTATATACACACATAAACATCCATATACACCCTCTATTGTCCTATATACACACATATACATCCACATACACCCTCTGTTGTCCTATATACACACATATACATCCCCATACACCCACTGTTGTCCTATATACACACATATACATCCCCATACACCCACTATTGTCCTATATACACACATATACATCCAAATACACCCTCTATTGTCCTATATACACACATATACATCCACATATACCCTCTATTGTCCTATATACACACATATACATCCACATACTCCCTCTGTTGTCTTATATACACACATATACATCCACATACACCCTCTATTGCCCTATATACACACATATACATCCACATACACCCTCTATTGTCCTATATACACACATATACATCCTTATACACCCTCTGTTGTCCTATATACACACATATACATCCACATACACCCTCTGTTGTCCTATATACACACATATACATCCACATACACCCTCTGTTGTCCTTTATACACACATATACATCCACATACACCCTCTGTTGTCCTATATACACACATATACATCCACATACACCCTCTGTTGTCCTATATACACACATATACATCCACATACACCCTCTGTTGTCCTATATACACACATATACATCCACATACATCCTGTATTGTCCTATATACACACATATACATCAATATACACCCTCTATTGTCCTATATACACACATATACATCCACATACACCCTCTATTGTCCTATATACACACATATACATCTACATACTCCCTCTATTGTCCTATATACACACATATACATCCACATACTCCTTCTCCTGTCCTTTATACACACATATACATCCACATACACACTCTATTGTCCTATATATACAGATATACATCCACATACACACTCTATTGTCCTATATACACACATATACATCCACATACACCCTCTGTTGTCCTATATACACACATATACATTCACATATACCCTCTATTGTCCTTTATACACACATATACATCCACATACTCCCTCTGTTGTCCTATATACACACATATACATCCACATACTCCCTCTGTTGTCCTAAAGAGATATTGATATGAGATCTTACTTGTTTGGCATTCAAACTTCACACATTTTGTGAAATATGTATGATTAAAACAAATCGAACATAGAGGAATGACACTGACAGACATTGACATTTGATTTATTAAGAACAATATCATGTTTAGTGAGGGTTGGGGTTAATGTTAGGGTTAGTGCAAGAGGGTTAGGGTTAATGTTTTGGCTAGGGTTAATGTTAGGGTCAGTGCAAGATATAATGTTATGGTTTGGGTTAATGTTATGGTTAGGGTTAAGATTAGGGTTAACTTTAGGGTTAATGTTATGGTTAGGGTTAATGTTAGGGTTAATGTTAGGGTTAATGTTATGGTTAGGGTTAATGTTAGGGTTAATGTTAGGGTAAGGGTTAAGGTTAGGGTTAATGTTAGGGTTAGGGTTAAGGTTAGGGTTAATGTTATGGCTAGGGTTAATGTTATGGTTATGGTTAATGTTATGGTTATGGTTAAGGTTAGGGATAATATTATGGTTAGGGTTAATGTTAGGGTTAATGTTAGGGTTTATGTTAGGGTTAGTGCAAGAGGTCAGAGGCCGCACCAGCCTACTGATTTTTGTCTATCTCTCCTCTCTGCAAATATCCTTTCAAATCAAATTAAACTTAAAGTTTCTATAAATTTAAAATTTCTTTCTCAAATTAAATTAAACCTAACATTTCAAATGAATTAAATTTTCAATCAAATTAAAATTACATTTTACCATTAAATTCCATATGAATTTACATATTTTTTTGTTTAGATAAGAATGCATCAACACCAACATTTAAGTACACTGCAGATCGACTTCCTCCGCAGACACCGGAGTTTAAGGGCAGATGTTGGAATTCGCCTCAACAATAACATGCCTCCGGTATAGAACAGAAGTGGCTATTCACAACAGGAGCGTAGTGCAATTACTGTAATGAGACGATCTTATCCAGGTGTTATGTTTTAGGCCTGCCACACCCAGGTCTTCGTGCAGCCCCACCCTGGTCACACCCAGGTCTTCGTGCAGCCCCACCCTGGTCACACCCAGGTCTTCGTGTAGCCCCACCCTGGTCACACCCAGGTCTTCGTGTAGCCCCACCCTGGTCACACCCAGGTCTTCGTGTAGCCCCACCCTGGTCACACCCAGGTCTTCGTGTAGCCCCACCCTGGTCACACCCAGGTCTTCGTGTAGCCCCACCCTGGTCACACCCAGGTCTTCGTGCAGCCCCACCCTGGTCACACCCAGGTCTTCGTGCAGCCCCACCCTGGTCAATTACTCGTGGCCTCCGAGAATCCCAGTGACCAGACAAGATGGCGAAATGGGGGTACGATAGGAGGCACGTCAACGTCCCAAGTTGTCCAAGTGTTCGGCAAACACAGGATCGCACCGCCCCATCAAATGCGTGCGTGCGTGCGTGCGTGCGTGCGTGCGTGCGTGCGTCTGCTTGTACTAATCCGGACAAATGGCGAATTTATAGTTCTCGCCCACTGAGATACCATGCCGCAGTTTAACATGAATACACCACCCAGACACAGTATACTGAGCCGACCAGTCCTTGTGTTTCCTCTTTAATGCCAAGTGCCAGTCATGGTAACAACAAGTACCATCTTTTGCTATCGTGCCTTTTGGTATGACGCGACCGGGGATCGAACCCACGATCTGCGCTCTGCTGGCAGACGCTCTATCCATTAGACCACGGAGGCGGTCACATCAATGATGACGACAACGATGACGACGACGATGACGATGACGATGACGGTGCACCCACGTCTGTGTGACGTTTTCATCAACCAACACGAACACGTAGATATTTAGAAACTTCAGATATATTTATTTAATTTCTTTCACAGTGAAAAAGCCTGAATGACAAGATGCACATGTTAATCACTGGAGGATGAATTTAGTCAGTTACATAGTCACTCTGATCACGTGACAGATGTGTGAGTGACTGAACAGGAACCACGTGACTAGAGAGCACATGTTGAAGCAGGAGTACAATATAGCCATTCCTGCTGGTCACGTGATCTCGTGACAGGGATCGGGATCTAAAGATGCCCTATGTACAGATACTCATATAGATGAAAGTAGGACGTAAAACACATGTTAAGAAAATCTAAACGAACACGTCAACAAACAAACAAATGTCATGGATACAAATAAATACGTAAAAAGTCCCGAAGGACAAATAGTTGGCCCTCATGCCCCCCCCCCCCCCCCCGAAAAAAACCAACCCTCACACCTCCACCCACATTTTGATTGGACTATGCATAGACCCGTTAGTCCAGCCAAAATATACCTCCATCATTGCAGCCTAGTTCGGCAAGGGTGGGAACTTGACTTTGTCAGTCAGCTGCCTCTCTTGCCTGCCTACTTCTCCTCGTCAGACATGTCCTCGGTGGGAATTTGACTTTGTCAGTCAGCTGCCTCTCTTGCCTGCCTACTTCTCCTCGTCAGACATGTCCTCGGTGAGGACCATGCTGGTGGTGATTATCTTCCTCCTCAACGTGTTCGACTTCACGGGCACCGCCTCCACCTGCTGCAGCACGCCGACGATATCGCTGAGACTCTGCATCACGACCTTAGCCGCGTCAAACAGGTTCTGGTTGGGGAACACCACTGACGTCACTTCCTGTTTCCGGTAAAGTTTCAGGGCTAAAGCTGTCATCCGGGTGGTTGCACAGTTCTTGAAAACTGGAAGTGGACAGACGAACTCGGACTTGGCCACGAGTTTGGACACATTGGGCGTCTCCCTGACCACTGCGGAAGACACGGCCTTCAGTTTTGACCACTTGTGACCATTTCCTCTCCGTGATTTCTCCATCGACTCAATCAGTCTGTCCAGGTTACAGACCAGTGCACGTGAGAAGTCGGCGATCCTGTGTTTCGTTTCCTCTCGTTTCGCCATCACTCCGTAATGCTCCATCAACTGCTGAAGCTTAGTCGTCCCGTCATGCAGTGCGGTGCTCGGGTCGCCTTCCTCAGTGAGCACCTCGGCTGCATCCCGACACGCGATTTGGAAGGCACTGCGCATGTCAGCCTTTGCACTCAGTAACACAGCCTTCTCGTATTTGTCTGGGTCTTTGAGGGCGGTGAGGCGATCGCTGAACCTTATCGTCCTGGTCACGTGATGAGTGTCGCCTTCAGCGTCGCAGTACTCCAGTTGTATACGCATGACGTCGTTGTCAGAGTCTTTCTTGTAGCCGGATAGATCGATGGCGATGCTGAAGTGCTTCTGACTTCCGGCTGGCAAGTCGTGCAGGTAGTACATGATGTTGGGTACTTTCTTCTCAGTCCGCCGTCGCCTGACGCTGTGCTCGCGCGTGCACTTCTCCTCCACGAGGGCCGCGCCGTTGTCCGGCTTGATGTCCAGGGTCACGTACTGAGCAATGGCGGACTTCCGCAACAGGAGCGGAATCAGCATGTCTACTTCCGGGTGCGCGAGATCGCTGTCGACGTAGTAGTAAGCGTCGTTGCCGCAGTACTTCGAGACGAGGTACATAGCCTGAGACACGTGACCACCCGTCGTCACGCAGGCCACACTTAGCCACTGTTCAGCGTTCTGGTTGCGGGGGTCGGGGTTTGAATCCCGGATTCGCTGACGCACGGCATGAACAACCTCGTCCGCGTTCGTGATTCCGGAGTTGATCTCGCCGTCCGAGAAGACGATGATGGCGTTCCGGTAGGCGGGGCTGCAACAAACGAAGTCAACTGTGATGACGCACCTGCTTCATGATGTGAATACACAATGCCATTGAGACGTGGTCAAATGTACCTACAAGTTGTTGGACTTTTTGTGGAAGCCTCGGTGGCTGAGTGGGTTAGGTCGCTACTTTGTGTGCAGGCAATTAGGTGCCTCACTCTGGCAGTGTGGGTTCGAATCCCTGACTGGACACAACCAAAAAAGTTACAAAGAAAGTGGTATCCCAAATATAACATTTGTTACATTTGATCACTTTCTAAATGGCATTGTGCATTTACTAGGATTGTAGCTATGGTCAGCTTGGCCTGTCAACGAGACAACAGACTGGGGCGGGGCGCGCTGGGGCAAAGGGTGCTGTAAGACATTCAACGCCCGAAAAGTTCCAGAATCTGAACTCTTACTAAGTAGTGTTATCCCAAATATTACATTGCTTACGGCTCAATGATATTTACACCAATACTATGTACACTTGTCCTACCACCTGATGGACCTGCGGGGGCACGGGTGGCCCTGTCGTCTAAGGCGCCGCGATTCACTATGCAGAGTTGCGTCCCTTGGGCACGCTAGAAACCTATGATTGTGGGTTCGAATCCTGGTTCGGCCCGATTATGTTTCTAGGTTTGTCAGCACCAAACCCGTGCTCGTGGGTTTCGCCGAAGTGGTAAACATCTGAGACCTGCATCACTTCGGGCTTTCCTCCCACAGTAAGCTGACACGCCGTGATATAACTGGAATACTGTTAAAAGCGGCGATAAGCCCAACTCACTCACTCACTCACTGATGGACCTACACTACGTACTCGCTAGCCTGGTGTCCAGACTTCAGCAGGTCCACTGCCCTGTGAATGCCCTGTACCAGGTCAGTACAGCTGTCGATGGCCTTGTCCAACGCCGTGATGGTCTCCTTCAGGTTACCCTGGTAACGGAAGAAAGAGTAGTGCTTGATAAGTACCCGTGTTGATGTCTCGACCCATGCAGTGACCGACGTGCACCGTGGAGGCCTTAGTTTACAAAGATGGATTTTGCGAGCATTAAGTAAACTACCAAACTGATGGTATGTAAGCTTGGTGTGAACACCCAAACTGGCATTGACGACACTGTACGAATATAAAATTATTGTTAAATCCCCGATTCCCGTGACACGAATACCCCACTCCTGTCTGTTTTCATGTTCATACTCAAGTTCTGCACAACTTTTGAGATATAAGCTATCTCTGTGCTTACCCTTGACGTGGAGTCGACCTTGGTGAGGGGGCACACGACGCGCGTCTCCTCCCCAAAGGCGACGATCCCGAAGTAGTCGTCCCCTTCCTCCATGACGTCCACGAGGTCGGCTGCCATCTTCTTGAGTTTACTCAACTTAGAGTGCTGTCTGCTTCGTCCACACTTGAGCAGCATACTTCCGCTGACGTCAAACACGCACACCACGCGCAGCTTCACTTTGTCGATGACGTCGTGATGCAAGGTCGAAAGTTCAAGGACACCGCGCAGCTGAAGAAAACATTTATGTGACGTACACCACACATTCAGTGTTACACGTATACCACACGTTCATGTGACGTACACCACACATTCAGTGTTACACGTATACCACACGTTCATGTGACGTACACCACACATTCAGTGTTACACATATACCACACGTTTATGTGACGTACACCACACATTCAGTGCTACACGTATACAACACGTTCATGTGACGTACACCACATGTTCAGTGTTACACGTTTACCACGCGTTTATGTGACGTACACCACACATTCGGTGCTACACGTATACCACACGTTTATGCGACGTACACCACACATTCAGTGTTACACGTATATCACACGTTTATGTGACGTACACCACACATTCAGTGCTACACGTATACCACACGTTTATGTGACGTACACCACACATTCAGTGTTACACGTATATCACACGTTTATGTGACGTACACCACACATTCAGTGTTACACGTATACCACACATTTATATGTGTATATTAAGACAACACATTCAGAGTTTATACACTGAATCGTGCAGAGTTGCGTCCCTTGGGCACGCCAGATTGTGATGTTTCTAGGTTTGTCAGCACCATACTTCGTGGGTTTCACCGAAGTGGTAAACGTCTAACACCTGCATCACTTCGGGCTTTCCTCCCACATTAATCTGACACGCCGTGATATAACTGGAATACTGTTAAAAGCGGCGTTAAACCCAACTCACTCACTCACTCACTCATCTACCCCGTCTCTCCGTCTCTCCGTCTACCCTGAGTGTGACGAGGTTGGACGTAGTGTGACGTACCATATTCTGCGACTCCGTCAAAAACACTTCAAAGTCCACACAGTCCACCTCCGTCTTGCCTGTCAGAAACACAGATGACGTCAGCAATAGAAGAGATGACGTCAGCAATAGAAGAGATGACGTCCTCAATAGAGGATGTGACGTCAGCAATAGAGGAGATGAAATTTTGTTATTATTGTTTTTAATGTCATATAAGTTTCAAAGTTAAACAATTAAACCGCCGATTGCCTCATGTTTTTGTTTTGTACAATTGATCATTGAAGGACATTGTGGTGAAGCTGTTGTCCTTTGTGGACAGATGGAGCAAGTGTTGGAGACGAATAATTAGAATTCGAGACGATGACCCCGGAAATGTGCTAACAAAATAGACGTAAATAAATAGCAATGATCGCAAACTTGCGACACGTCGCAACCCCGATGTTACTTTCAGGGAACGTTGAATAAACCACGTCGCAGTGGCGGGACGTCGCAGAGATGTCGTAATGTTACATTCCCCGGATGAAGGAGCGAGACGTATGGTAATTAGGTCTTCTGAGCTTCTTAACTTAAAACAAGTCCTCAAAATAGTTCCCAAGTTGGACACGCCGGAAACCTGTCAGCCTTTAAATCTCAGAGTTAGGGTGTATCTGTATCTGTACCCTGTATCTATACCCTGTATCTGTATCTGTACCCTGTACCTGTATCCTGTATCTATACCCTGTATCTATATCCTGTATCTATATCCATACCCTGTATCTATATCCCGTATCTATACCCTGTATCTGTTTCTGTACCCTGTATCTATATCTGTACCCTGTATCTATATCTGTACCCTGTATCTATATATGTACCCTGTATCTATATCTGTACCCTGTATCTATATTCATACCCTGTATCTATATCCTGTATCTATACCCTGTATCTATACCCTGTATCTATATCCATACCCTGTATCTATATCTATACCCTGTATCTATACCCTGTATCTATATCTATACCCTGTATCTGTATCTATACCCTATATCTGTATCTATACCCTGTATCTATATCTATACCCTGTATCTATACCCTGTATCTGTATCTATACCCTGTATCTATATCTATACCCTGTATCTATACCCTGTATCTATATCTATACCCTGTATCTGTATCTATACCCTGTATCTATATCTGTACCCTGTATCTGTATCTATACCCTGTATCTATACCCTGTATCTGTATCTATACCCTGTATCTGTATCTATACCCTGTATCTGTATCTATACCCTGTATCTATATCTATACCCTGTATCTGTATCTATACCCTGTATCTGTATCTATACCCTGTATCTGTATCTATACCCTGTATCTGTATCTATACCCTGTATCTGTATTTATACCCTGTATCTGTATCTATACCCTGTATCTGTATTTATACCCTGTATCTATACCCTGTATCTATATCTATACCCTGTATCTATACCCTGTATCTATACCCTGTATCTGTATCTATACCCTGTATCTATACCCTGTATCTGTATCTATACCCTGTATCTATATCTATACCCTGTATCTATATCTATACCCTGTATCTATATCCTGTATCTATATCTATACCCTGTATCTGTATCTATACCCTGTATCTGTATCTATACCCTGTATCTGTATCTATACCCTGTATCTATACCCTGTATCTATATCTATACCCTGTATCTATACTCTGTATCTATACCCTGTATCTGTATCTATACCCTGTATCTGTATCTATACCCTGTACCTGTATCTATACCCTGTATCTATATCTATACCCTGTATCTGTATCTATACCCTGTATCTATACCCTGTATCTATATCTATACCCTGTATCTATATCTATACCCTATATCTGTATCTATACCCTGTATCTATATCTATACCCTGTATCTGTATCTATACCCTGTATCTATACCCTGTATCTATATCTATACCCTGTATCTATATCTATATCCTGTATCTGTATCTATACCCTGTATCTATATCTATACCCTATATCTGTATCTATACCCTGTATCTGTATCTATACCCTGTATCTGTATCAATACCCTGTATCTGTTTCTGTACCCTGTATCTATATCTGCACCTTGTATCTATATTCATACCCTGTATCTATATCCTGTATCTATATCTATACCCTGTATCTATACCCTGTATCTATATCCATACCCTGTATCTATATCCATACCCTGTATCTATATCCTGTATCTATATCTATACCCTGTATCTATACCCTGTATCTATATCCTGTATCTATATCTATACCCTGTATCTATACCCTGTATCTATACCCTGTATCAATACCCTGTATCTGTTTCTGTACCCTGTATCTATATCTGCACCTTGTATCTATATTCATACCCTGTATCTATATCCTGTATCTATATCTATACCCTGTATCTATACCCTGTATCTATATCCATACCCTGTATCTATATCCATATCCTGTATCTATATCCATACCCTGTATCTATATCCTGTATCTATATCCATACCCTGTATCTATATCCATACCCTGTATCTATATCTGTACCCTGTATCTATATTCATAACCTGTATCTATATCCTGTATCTATATCCATACCCTGTATCTATATCTGTACCCTGTATCTATATCTGTACCCTGTATCTATATTCATACCCTGTATCTATATCCTGTATCTATATCCATACCCTGTATCTATATCTGTACCCAGTATCTATATCTGTACCCTGTATCTATATTCATACCCTGTATCTATATCCTGTATCTATATCTATACCCTGTATCTATACCCTGTATCTATATCCATACCCTGTATCTATATCCATACCCTGTATCAATATCTGTACCCTGTATCTATATCTGTACCCTGTATCTATATTCATACCCTGTATCTATATCCTGTATCTATATCTAAACCCTGTATCTACACCCTGTATCTGTATCTATACCCTGTATCTGTATCTATACCCTGTATCTGTATCAATACCCTGTATCTGTATCAATACCCTGTATCTGTATCTATACCCTGTATCTGTATCAATACCCTGTATCTGTATCAATACCCTGTATCTGTATCAATACCCTGTATCTGTATCTATACCCTGTATCTGTATCTATACCCTGTATCTGTATCTATACCCTGTATCTGTATCTATACCCTATATCTGTATCTATACCCTGTATCTGTATCTATACCCTGTATCTGTATCTATACCCTATATCTGTATCTATACCCTGTATGTGTATCTATACCCTGTATCTATATCTATACCCTGTATCTGTATCTATACCCTGTATCTATATCTATACCCTATATCTGTATCTATACCCTGTATCTGTATCTATACCCTGTATCTATACCCTATATCTGTATCTATACCCTGTATCTATATCTATACCCTGTATCTGTATCAATACCCTGTATCTGTATCTATACCCTGTATCTGTATCTATACCCTGTATCTGTATCTATACCCTATATCTGTATCTATACCCTGTATCTATATCTATACCCTGTATCTGTATCTATACCCTGTATCTATACCCTGTATCTATATCTATACCCTGTATCTATATCTATACCCTGTATCTGTATCTATACCCTGTATCTATACCCTATATCTGTATCTATACCCTGTATCTATATCTATACCCTGTATCTGTATCTATACCCTGTATCTGTATCTATACCCTGTATCTATATCTATACCCTGTATCTATATCTATATCCTGTATCTGTATCTATACCCTGTATCTGTATCTATACCCTGTATCTGTATCTATACCCTGTATCTGTATCTATACCCTGTATCTGTATCTATACCCTATATCTGTATCTATACCCTGTATCTATACCCTGTATCTGTATCTATACCCTGTATCTGTATCTATACCCTATATCTGTATCTATACCCTGTATCTATACCCTGTATCTGTATCTATATCCTGTATCTGTATCTATACCCTGTATCTATACCCTGTATCTGTATCTATACCCTGTATCTGTATCTATACCCTATATCTGTATCTATACCCTGTATCTGTATCTATACCCTATATCTGTATCTATACCCTGTATCTATACCCTGTATCTGTATCTATACCCTGTATCTGTATCTATACCCTGTATCTATATCTATACCCTGTATCTATACCCTGTATCCATACCCTGTATCTGTATCTATACCCTGTATCTATATCTATACCCTGTATCTGTATCTATACCCTGTATCTGTATACCCTGTATCTATATCTATACCCTGTATCTATACCCTGTATCCATACCCTGTATCTGTATCTATACCCTGTATCTATATCTATACCCTGTATCTGTATCTATACCCTGTATCTGTATCTATACCCTGTATCTATGTCTGTACCCTATATCTGTATCTATACCCTATATCTGTATCTATACCCTGTATCTGTATCTATACCCTGTATCTATACCCTGTATCTATATCTATACCCTATATCTGTATCTATACCCTGTATCTATACCCTGTATCTATATCTATACCCTGTATCTGTATCTATACCCTGTATCTATATCTGTACCCTATATCTGTATCTATACCCTATATCTGTATCTATACCCTGTATCTATATCTATACCCTGTATCTATATCTATACCCTGTATCTATATCTATATCCTGTATCTATATCTATATCCTGTATCTATATCTATACCCTGTATCTATATCTATACCCTGTATCCATACCCTGTATCTGTATCTATACCCTGTATCTGTATCTATACCCTGTATCTGTATCTTTACCCTGTATCTGTACCCTGCATATATATCTATACCCTGTATCTATATCTATACCCTATATCTGTATCTATACCCTGTATCTGTATCTATACCCTGTATCTATATCTATATCCTGTATCTATATCTATATCCTGTATCTGTATCTATACCCTGTATCTATATCTATACCCTGTATCCATACCCTGTATCTGTATCTATACCCTGTATCTGTATCTATACCCTGTATCTGTATCTATACCCTATATCTGTATCTATACCCTGTATCTATACCCTGTATCTGTATCTATACCCTGTATCTGTACCCTG